CAAAAAAAAAAAAAAAAAAAAAAAAAAAAAAAAAAAAAAAAGAAAGAAATTACTGTTGTTTATAAGCCACCAAGTCTATGGTATAGCAGCCTAAACTGACTAAGGCAGCAGTATATCATGCATATCCCTTCAGGACAATATCTAGAGATGTAAATCACTTTTCCTAGCAGTATATTAGTCAATAATTTGGATGTACAGAAACTTATACAACAATTTCCTTACTAATAAACACACCTTACACTTTTATTGATACAGAAATATTCATGTAGTAAAATCTATCATTTGGGGCTAAAATTTAAAAGACTGATAATACAATTTTTGGCAAGGATGTGAAATAAAATGAATTTTCATACATGGCTGATTGATGTATAAATGGGTATTTCAAACTTTGGGAACTGGATGTATTTACTAAAGTTAAGCATATACTTTCTTCTTAACCTAGCTATTGCACTCCTAAGTAAATACCTAAAAGAAATGTGTGCATGTGTGCACCAAGACACATGGACAAAATTATTTTTGTGGGATTATTTTTTAATTTCTCCAAACTAGAAACATTTCAAATATCCTTTGGTAGAATGCCTGTAGTGTAGTCTGGTTGTATGATTAAATACTGTGCAGCTCTGGAAAGGAATTACCTACAGCTACATCCAGAAATATGGGTGAATTTCACAAATATGCTGAAAGAAGACAGAGTCATTTTTTTAATGTACATAAATTTACTTACATAAAATTTAAAAACAGGCAAGACTAGAGTATTATAAAACAGTATAGAGGTTGCCATTCGGGCAGTAGGAATGGATAGTGATTGGGAAGAAGCATGAGGATGGCTTCCGGGAAGCTGGAGATGGTCTATTTCTTGACCTGGTGGTATTTACAGGAATGTTTGCTTTGTGCTAACTCGTTCAGATGTTCATTTAGAATTTGTGCTCTTTTTGTATGAATGTAATAACTGATAAGAAGTAAAAGTTTTTTTTTTAATTTTTCATTCTATTCTATTCTAATTTCAGAGCTTCTATGTTTTTAATTCTATCAGGTCGATTCTACATTCAGGTTATACATATATTTTCATGCATTCTCTATGCACATCAAAGATGAAAAATTACAGCACTACTTGTTCATGATATATTATTATTTTAATAAATAATTTGATTTAATTTGATAGTATTTTATCTAGAATTTGTATATCTATGATATATAA